GGGTTGTGGCATGGTGGTGGTGGGGTTGGAGGTGGTGTGGTTGTAGTGGTAGTGGGGTTGTGGTGGTGTGGTTGTAGTGGTAGTGGGGTTGTGGTGGTGTGGTTATAGTGGTAGTGGGGTTGTGGTGGTGTGGTTGTAGTTGTAGTGGGGTTGTGGTGGTGTGGTTGTAGTGGTAGTGGGGTTGGGAGGTGGTGTGGCTGTAGTGGTAGTGGGGTTGTGGTGGGTGTGGTTGTAGTGGTAGTGGGGTTGTGGTATGGTAATGGTGGTGGGGTTGTAGGTGGTGTGGTTGTGTGGTAGTGGGTTGTGTGGTGGTTGTAGTGGTAGTGGATGTGGTGGTGGTTGTAGTGGTAGTGGGTTGTGGTGGTGTGGTTGTGGTGGTAGTGGGGTTGTTGTGGTGTGGTTATGGTAGTGGGGTTGTGGTGGTGTGGTTGTAGTGGTAGTGGGGTTGTGGTGGTGTGGTTGTAGTGGTAGTGGGGTTGTGGTGGTGTGGTTGTAGTGGTAGTGGGGTTGTGGTGGTAGTATTGTGGTACTACTGGGGTGCCGTGTCATGGTAATAGTGGGGTTGTGGTGGTAGTAGTGGTGTAATGGTGGTAGAGGAATAGTGGTGATTTACGCTACATCAACTACACTGTCATCTACACTACATCAACTATACTGTCATCTACACTACATCAACTATACTGTCATCTACACTACATCAACTATACTATCATCTACACTACATCAACTACACTGTCATCTACACTACATCAACTATACTGTCATCTACACTACATCAACTATACTGTCATCTACACTACATCAACTACACCGGTCATCCACACTACATCAACTAACTGTCATCTACACTACATCAACTACACCGTCATCTACACTACATCAACTATAGTATCATCTACACTACATCAACTACACACCGTCATCTACACCACATCAACTACACTATCATCTACACCACATCAACTACACTCATCATCTACACTACATCAACTGGCTGGACTGTCATCTACACTCACATCAACCATAGTATCATCTACACCACATCAACTACACTGTCATCTACACCACATCAACTACACTGTCATCTACACTACATCAACTACACTCATCATCTACACTACATCAACTACACTGTCATCTACACTACATCAACTACACTGTCATCTACACTACATCAACTACACTGTCATCTACACTACATCAACTACACTGTCATCTACACTACAACAACTACACTGTCATACACACTACATCAACTACACTGTCATCTACACTACATCAACTACACTGTCATCTACACTACATCAACTGCACTGTCATCTACACTACATCAACTACACTGTCATCTACACTACATCAACTACACTGTCATCTACACTACATCAACTACACTGTCATCTACACTACATCAACTACACCATCATCTACACTACATCAACTACACTGTCATCTACACTACATCAACTACACTGTCATCTACACTACAACAACTACACTGTCATCTACACTACATCAACTACACTGTCATCTACACTACATCAACTACACTGTCATCTACACTACACAACTACACTGTCATCTACCTTCCATCAACTACACTGTCATCTACACTACATCAACTACACTGTCATCTACACTACATCAACTACACTGTCATCTACACTACATCAACTACACTGTCATCTACACTACATCAAGTACACTGTCACCTTCGCTCCATCAACTACACTGTCATCTACCTCTATATCCAACTACACTGTCATCTACACTACAACAACTACACTGTCATCTACACTACAACAACTACACTGTCATCTACACTACAACAACTACACTGTCATCTACACTACAACAACTACACTGTCATCTACACTACAACAACTACACTGTCATCTACACTACAACAACTACACTGTCATCTACACTACAACAACTACACTGTCATCTACACTATAACAACTACACTGTCATCTACACTACAACAACTACACCGTCATCTACACTACATCAACTACACCGTCATCTACACTACAACAACTACACTGTCATCTACACTACATCAACTACACTGTCATCTACACTACAACAACTACACCGTCATCTACACTACATCAACTACACCGTCATCTACACTACAACAACTACACTGTCATCTACACTACAACAACTACACCGTCATCTACACTACATCAACTACACCGTCATCTACACTACAACAACTACACTGTCATCTACACTACATCAACTACACCGTCATCTACACTACAACAACTACACCGTCATCTACACTACATCAACTATACTGTCATCTACACTACTATCTTAGTCCCCAGCTATCCACCTCAGTTATCACCACAACCCCACTACCACTACAACAACACCACCACAACCCACTACCACTACAACCACACCACCACAACCCCATACCACACCACACCACAATTCACCACAACCCCACTACCACCATAACCACACCACTACAACCCCACTCACCACTACAACCACACCACCACAACCCCACCTACCACTACAACCACACCCACCCACAACCCCATTACCACTACAACCACACCACCACAACCCTCAATTACCAATTACAACCCCATTACCACTACAACCACACCACCACAACCCCACTACCTATAACCACAATCACTACAACCCTAATTACCACTATAACTACAATCACCACTCAGCAACCCCTAATTACCACTACAACCACACCAACACAACCCCAATTGGCTCAATTAACATACCACAACCCCACTACACTGCCAACCACACACCACCTCAACCCCAATTACCACTGTCTCACAATTCAATCTGGCCAAACCCACTCACCACTGTTGAACCACACCACCACACATCCCAACCACCACTATAAACACAACCACTACAACCCCACTACCACTACAACCACACCACCACAACCCACCACCACTATAACCAATAATCCACCACAACCCCACCACCATTACCAAAATTACAAGCACAACCCCAATTTACCACTATAACCACAATCTCACCACAACCCCACTACCACTACCACCACACCACCATCCCCACTACCACTATAACCACAATTCAATTACAACCCCACTACCACTACAACCACACCACCACAACCCTCACTACAACTACAACCACACCACCAACTTCACTACCACTATAACTACACCACTACAACCTCACCACAACCACACCACCACAACCCCACTACCACCAGTAACTACACCACTACAACCCCACTCACCACTATAACCACACCACTACAACTCCACCACCATTACCATACCACAACCCTACTACCACTACAACCACCACCTCAACCCCACTACAACTACAACCACACCACCACCACAACCCCGCACCACCATTACCATACCACAACCCCACCACCACCAAACCACACCCACCTCAACCCCACCACCCCAACCCCACCACCATTACCACAACCCCACTACCTCTAAAACCACACCACCTCAACCCCACTCACTACTAAACCACACCACCACAACCCCACTATCACTACAACCACACCACCACAACCCCACTACCACTACAACCACACACCAACCCCACCAATTAACCCCACCACCATTACCATACCCACAACCCCTACCACCACTACAACCACACCACCTCAACCCCAATTAACAACACTACAACCACACCACCACAACCCCACTTACCACTGGCAACCACACCCACCTCAACCCCACCACCTTCTCAACCCCAATTCAATTCATTACCATACCACAACCCCACTCTACCACTACAAATCTTGCCACCTCAACCCCACTACCACTACAACCACACCACCACAACCCCACTACCACTACAACCACACCACCACAACCCCACTACCACTACAACCACACCACCACAACCCCTCTACCACTACAACCACACCACCTCAACCCCACCACAACTACCATACCACAACCCCACTACCACTACACTACCTCAGGCGGGTCACTGTTCCACCCTGTTTATATTTCCGACCCTTGTATTCTCCCGAGTCCAACTGTGCTAAACAAAATATATTAAAGTATATTAAATAATGTTTCCGGTCATAAAAATGACTGTTCAGAAGGTACTCGAAAATTTCCTGGTATTCATCAGGTATTGCGTCGTAACGTATTTCTGGGTGCTTGCGTAGACCTGGTTCAGGTTAATCGGGGGTGGTGGTACCCGGTATGGCCGTCTGCGTGCCACACTTCTTACGGTGGTGGTGGCCTGGTCTGTCATGCACTGTGAAACGATCCGTGTCCCCTTTTTGAAAATAGTGATCGTAACCCTCCCAAGATTACTTCTTAGAGGGTTGGGGACACTGTCCTGGTAAGTAATGTATATGGGGGGAGGGTTTCTGGTGCCGGTTGTGTAGTGGATCTTTAGATTTGTTTACATGATCCTAAACACAGTTGAAGCAGTGATATAACTGGGGATATTGGCGCCGTTTTTCGCAATACGGTGGATAATCTATCCTGTAATCGTGTTTGTGCCATCCACGCTTAACACTGGGGTCTTTTGTGTAATCAGGGCCGCCTTACAAGTTATGCGTGTGACTTATGAACTGGTGCCACCCGTGCTCACCATCATAAGCGACGCGATGCGTGAGCCGATGATGCAATGAGCGGCTCCAGCGGAGGATTGGCTGAGCCGGCTCATGCGCGATCAATAACATTTATTTTATTTATTGACAACAATCATTCGTTATGTCAATATAATTCATAAAAAATACCAAGTATACAACATTCACTGGCTTGTTTATCCATCTCCCTATCCTTCCTCCCTTTCATTTCTCCTCCCTTCCTCCTTCCTTTCCTATTCCTGCTTCCTCCCCTTCCTTTTATCCTCCCATTCATCTATCTCTACTCCCTTCCTCCTTCCCTCCTCTCCTCCATCTTACGTCATAATGAAACGAGATCACTGGCTTGTCTATTCCCCTTCCTTCTCTCCTCCCTCCCTTCCCCGTTCCCTACTGTCTTCCCCCTCACCTCATAATGGAAGGAAATAACAGGCTTCTTGTGGGAAGGTTCACACCCAATCTTGCTCATGTTAAACACCTGCTCGAGGCCACAACACACAGGTACTGATATGTTGGCAGCCATGTCCGTCAAGATGCCAACACCCATCACCTCTTCCTCCCCTTCTTCCGCCACTGCCGCTTCCTGTTGGGTGTGTGTGAGACGAGACGCCCTTCCTCCATTACTTCCTCCTCCTAAGGCGTTCTGGTCACTACCTCCTGTGGCCACGCCCACCGCTAATACAACCAGCAGTAGGTGATAGGTGAGAGGAGTCATCTTGTGCTAACACCTGAGGAAGAGAGAGAGGGAGACTCGTTAGTATAACCACAACAACAACGACTACAATAACAACAACATCAATAATAGACACTCAAACAAACATACAGACACAGCTAAACAAATAAAACAACATTTAAACAAGACTAATAAACATGTGGAAGAAACTAATATATATAAAGATAATATGAATGTGTAGGAGGAGGTGTGTCAAGGTGTAGTAGGATTAGCTGTGACCGAGAGAGAGAGAGAGTGTAAAATAAAAAAGAGATAAATACTTGAATGATGAAAATTGAGAGAAATGGGAAGAGAGAGAGAAAGAGAGAGCAAGGCAGGTACAATACCTTTTCTAGTCACTAATGTGGGGGGGGTCGTTATTCCAGTGAGGCTGAGTGGGCTGAGAGGAGGGAATTGGAATGAATAAGAGAGAGAAACAGAGGGAAGGAGAGAAGTGGAACGAATGAGGAGAGAAAAACACAGGATAAATAAAGAAAAACAAAAGAGAGAAATTAGTCATATTTCACTCCAACTTACATCAACATCGTCCCTCAACACACACACACACACACACACACTGTAATATTCTATTCACTAACATGCAATCCAAGCCCCTCACTCATACTGACAACATCTGACAATGACCCTCAATCATACTGACACATTCATAGACTAATGGGGGAATTACCTCCATCAATCACCACACAACCCGGAGTTATTGTTGTTGAGTTGGTATTGTTATTGGTTGAGTGAGGTTATGTTAGGGTTTGGTTAGGTTAGGTTAGGTTAGGTGCCTATGTAAATAGCCTTTCTCACAACATGTCTGGCAGTGACTTGGTGTATATAACAGCTATGTGTGTGTGTGTGTGTGTGTGTGCATCAACAGTTGTATACGTGCACATAAGCGACTGTGTACGTGATGACACTGACATAAAGATGCGGTTCACAGTGTACAGTTAATGTGTGCTGAGGCTGACCATTCTCAAAGCGGGCATTGTGATCCATTTGTTCTTCTTCTTTTTGTTGTTGTTGTTGTTCTTCATGTTCTTCTTCTTCGTTGTTGTTGTTGTTCTTCTTCTTTTTCTTCTTCTTTTTGTTGTTGTTGTTCTTCTTCTTCTTCTTCTTGTTCTTCTTCTTCGTTGTTGTTGTTCTTCTTCTTGTTCTTCTTCTTTTTGTTGTTGTTGTTCTTCTTCTTGTTCTTCTTCTTTTTGTTGTTGTTGTTCTTCTTCTTCGTTGTTGTTGTTGATCTTGTTCTTCATGTTCTTCTTCGTTGTTGTTGTTGATGTTGTTCTTCATGTTCTTCTTCTTTTTGTTGTTGTTGTTGTTCTTCATGTTCTTCTTCTTCGTTGTTGTTGTTGTTCTTCTTCGTTGTTGTTGTTGTTGTTGTTGTTTTTTGTTATTCTTCTTCTTTATCTGTTGTCTTTTATCCTTCTTTCTATCTTATCATTTTCTCTCATTTTTCTTTCCTTTTTCTCTTCCTTCCCCTCCTTTCTTCTTCGCTCTCTTCCTCCTTATTTTTTTCTCTCTTTCTTATCTATCCACTTTCTTTTTATCCAAACAATTAATTACATGGTGGTCACTGATAAGGTACTACTCTAACCTCATGATAATTGGTTTAAAGGATAATTGGGGTAAAATTTATCCAATCTGAAAAAAAAACCCTTCTCAATATCGTCTCCTCTTGACCGTTCCTTCCCACCAAACAATCACGTGAACCACTTCTTACGTTTGTCGTCATTCACCGTCTGCGTCGTACTGCCGCCTTATGTGTGCGATTAAGGTGTAGAAGCTGTCGCCAACACAAAAACCACACCCTGAGTTGCTTGACCCAGTATCAAGGAATAGTCCGAGAAGACCGGGCAACTCGCCAACAGGTGGTCATACATACATACACACATACATACATACAATCTGGCTAGAAAACAAACAAGGAAGCAACCTCTCTCTCTCTCTCTCTGATAAATGAGCTGAGAACCTTTTCTTTGCAAGGGTGCTAGGACGGGAGGTAGAGGAGAGGTGGGGGACAAGTCGGAGAAGGGATGGTTAAGTCACAGGGGTACAAGTCAAGGGTATGTGTTGGAAAACGAGCGCAGAGGAGGTGGAGGTGTTGTGGGGTATGAACATTGGAGGAGGAGGTGTTGGAGGTGGAGGGAGGTGATGGAGTGGAGGAGGTGTTGGAGGTGGAGAGGAGGTGATGATGGGAAGTGAGAGGAGGTGATGGGGAGGAGGTGAATGCTCAGACAGGTTAATGTTGCTCGGGAGAGAAATCTTATGAGGTGTGTGTGTGTGTGTTGTGTGTCTTTGTGTTGTGAGAGGGATCATTGAGAGGTCATTTAGCAAATACGAAGTAGCTGAGAGGGAGAGAGGGAAGGACTGGCGTAAGTGGGAGGGAAGGACTGGCGTAAGTGGGAGGGAAGAAGTGGCGTAAGTGGGAGGGAAGAAGTGGCGTAAGTGGGAGGGAAGAAGTGGAGTAAGTGGGAGGGAAGAAGTGGAGTAAGTGGGAGGGAAGAAGTGGAGTAAGTGGGGAAGAAGGAGTGGCGTAAGTGGGAGAAGGACGGGCGTATGTACTAGGAAGGGTGGGAGGGGTGTTCTTATTAGGGATGGAGGGGGAAGGAGGGAAGGGTGGATGGAGGAAGGGGTGTAGGTGAGAGATGGAGGGAAGGAGGGAACAAAATTATATAAGACTTTCTTCTCCTTCTCTGTTATCACTTCTTCTCCTCTCCTTCCTTTTTTATCCATCTCCTCTTCTTATCTTGACCTTCCCCTCTTCTCTGATCTCTCCCTACTTCCTCCTTGCTACTTTTCTTCTCTACTCAGGGCGCCAACTCCTCCTCCCACCCCCACACACATAGGTACACAGACTGAGTACACAGAGGCGTCACACAACTCAACCTTGAACGTATATCACCTGAGGCAGTGTAGTGAGAATGGAGAGAAGAGGAGAGGTGTAAAGGAGGAAGAGGGAAGAGGAGGAGGAGGAGGAGGAAGAAGGAAGAGGAGGAGGAGGATGGGAGAGGCTATAAGGTGTATTCCATCAGACCTTCCCTCCGTAATAAACATTAATAAACAGCATTTAATCATAGTAACATTTATTTTTATATCAAGCATCACAAAACACAAACTTTGTTAGGTTTCGAAATATATATAAATATATATATATATATATATATATATATATATATATATATATATATATATATATATATATATATATATATATATATATATATATATATATTTCATGTAAATCCACAATAAACGTGGATAAGATAAATCTTGATAAAATCACACGGGAAAATGCGACAACGTTGTTTCCATTTGCCACGTGTGTTATATATATATATATATATATATATATATATATATATATATATATATATATATATATATATATATATATATATATATATATATATATATATATATATATATATATATATATATATATACGATTATGAATATTACAAAAGAAAAATTAACGTGTAACAAAAGAGGAAAATAATAAGAATTTCGCAAAGATGTTTTTCCTTCCGTATGACGTCATTTGTTCCTTTAATGGCGTCACTTCTCCCTTGTATGACGTCAATGTATCCTGAATAATGTCACCACGCGTGTGTTTACTGTCACGTTGACGGGAAGAACAGTGAGGGGGTGACCGTTCACACACACACACACACACACACACAGGACCTTCGGTAGGAAGTTGTGACACTTTGGTACCCCGTCAGCGACTCTTACGGGATTCTGAAAAGAAATTGATGAAATAATGAAGAGGATATGGGGGAAATTTGTTGGATTTTCACTTTTGCTTTAGGAAAATCTGAAGGACTGGGGTTTTGGGTACGGCAGGTGTAGGTAGGTGGAGGTAAGCAGGTAACAGGTGTAGGCAGGGGAGGTGGGAGGAGGTAAGCAGGCAACAGGTGTAGGCAGGGGAGGTGGGTGGAGGTAAGCAGGCAACAGGTGTAGGGCAGGGAGGTGGGAGGAGAGAAGCAGGCAACAGGTGTAGGCAGGGGGAGGTGGGGGGGTAAGCAGGCAGCAACAGGTGTGAGGCAGGGGAGGTGGTGGAGTAAGCAGGCAGGTGTAGGCAGGGGAGGAGGTGGGAGGAGGTAAGCAGGCAACAGGTGGAGGCAGGGGAGGTGGGGGGGAAGGTAAGCAGGCAACAGGTGTAGGAGGCAGGAGGGTGGAGTGGAGGTAAGCAGGCAACAGGTGTAGGCAGGGGAGGTGGGGGGAGGTAAGCAGACAACAGGTGTAGGCAGGGGAGGTGGGGGGTAAGCAGGGCAACAGGTGTAGGCAGGGAGGTGGGAGGAGGAGGTAAGCAGGCAACAGGTGTAGGCAGGGAGGTGGGAGGAGGTAAGCAGGCAACGGAGGTGTAGGCAGGAGGTGGGGGGAGGTAAGCAGGCAACAGGTGTGGAGGCAGGAGGTGAGGTGGAGGTAAGCAGGCAACAGGTGTAGGCAGGGGAGGTGGGAGGAGGTAAGCAGGCAACAGGTGTAGGCAGGGAGGTGGAAGTGTAAGCAGGCAACAGGTGTAGGCAGGGGAGGTGGGTGGAACAGCAGGTGAAGGTAGCCAGGCAAGCAGCAGGTGAGGTAGGTGGAGTTAAACAGGAAGCAGGCAGATGTAGTTAAGTAGGCAGCAGGTGGAGGTAAACAGGCAGGCAGCAGGAGCGGGTGGAAATATGCAAGTAGGCAGGCAGAGAAACTTGCAACGTAAGCATCTTCACTTGTTTACAGTGTGTGTGTGTGTGTGTGTGTGTGTGTGCTGCAAGGTCGACATCACCTTGGCCAGATCAGGTCAATGAACTGATTGTGTGGTCGCCACCCGAGGTAGGTCGAGTTGGCGGCCTGTCAACTGCGCCTCGCTCTTGCTCAATTTTGCTCTTATTATTATTATTATTATTATTATTATTATAATTATTATTATTATTATTAGTATTATTATTATTATTGTTGTTGTTGTTGTTGCTGTCGTTGTTGTTGTTGCTGTCGTTGTTGTTGTTGTTGTTATTAAAT